AAACAAATTCTCTTAGTCTCTCCTGTGCTTTTTAAGGTTATCTTTAGGTTACTGAGACAAAAGAACTCTAGGCAAATATGTGAGATTTCATAGTTAAGATAGACTTTATTATAGGGTGGAAGTAAGAATACCTTTGCTATCTGTGATATGAAAGAACTTCCTTGGCAAACAAATTCTAAAAGTTTGTTATGTTGAGGATGGTATTCATCTGTAGGACTAATTGTAACTAAGGGAACTGACAAAAATATATTCACCCACGTAATTTTCAAATCAGGTTGGTGAAGGGTGGTGGGAGGTGGGAGGTGGTGGAGTCACAGACCCTGGTGGTGTTCAAGGAAAGACTGGATGTTGTGTTGAGGGACATGGTTTAGTGGGAGCTATTGGTAATAGGCGAACGGTTGGACTGGATGATCTTTTCGGTCTTTTCCAACCTTGGTGATTCTATGATTCTATGATTTCTATGAATTTTTCCTTGCAGAAATGTATAACTTGTTTGCAGATCACTCCTAGTGTACAAGGGCAAACCATAGGTAGTTACACAAAACTAAAAGATGATGTGGACAAACTCAGTGGATATGGGAAATAGTGACACTAGAAGACCTTGAACAGCAGTGTATAAATACAGTAACTATATAACTTAATTCATGAAAGAAAATTGCATTCCTGATGGTAATTATCAGGAATCAGGTAAATATCATTATCAGGTAATAGTGGAAGCCATTTTGAAGCTTTCACTGCAGTTGGTTCTGTGAGTTTGTTTTGTTTTCTTTTTGGTGACGTTTTTTGGGTTGGCCTAAAAAATAAAAAATGCATCTTCTGAGTGTTTTATTGCTGCTGTATTCAGCCTAGTACTTCCTTAGCTCAGTTATAATAATTTAGCATTACTTTTCCCTTAGGTCATTTTTATCGTCTAGAAGGACAAAAGGATTATCTGCTTTGTGGCAATAGCTCAGATGCAGGGTAAGATATGCTAAAAACTACATACTACCCTTTAATGTAAACAGCAAGATACATAATACCACTATAAACTTAAAAAGCTAATTTAATGACCTAACTAATTAATCAAAGATATATGCTTGTGGTTCATAGTAACTAAGCACTCGAATGAGTAGAAATATTAAATGAGAAAAATATTTTGCTGTGAATTCATTTTTATAGCTCTAATGTAACTAGAAAAAATATTATTTCAACAGGTGGATATTGCATTATCAATTACTTCAGAACATACTTCTACATTAATGACTTCATGTTATTTTACATCCCTAAAATAGGCGCTCGGACTCAAAGTAGAGGGAGGACCTCTTTTATATTTTTGTTGGTGGACTTCATACACAGGACTGCCTTAGTCTCTCTTTGCAGCAATTATTTGTAACAATTATGTATTTCTAGTTTGTTATGATATGTCAGTTCATCTGTTGTTTTTTGATAATTTTGTCTTTAAAACAGATATACTTAATCTTTCTATGTAGACATTTTACATATGCCTGTAAGTCATTAGATAATTTTATACTATATATGTGTGTAAATATCTTGTGTGTAAAAATCTTTACCTTTTCAGGAATAGAATCATGACAGAGGTGGTGTGCCTACTGTAGACAAATGATCACCTAATATCAAAACAGATACAGTTTCAGAAATTTAAAGTATCACTGTGGCAGTTGCAGTGGAACAAGTTTCATTTTGTAAATCAAAGATGAAAGATTTTTCATAAAAATGAAATTTTGAAGAATTTTCAGTTATTTGTTCGCTCATTGCTGGCTTTAAAATAAAAACACTGTTTATTTCTTCAATGGCATTTAAATTGTAAGCAACACATAGCAGAGGCCCACTTCCCAGATTAGATCTAATGAATCTTAATTAGAACGTCAATGTACAATAATTTTAAAAGAAATTTAATATGTTCTTTTATAAGCACTGTTTGTTGTTTGCTTGTTTTTCCTTTTGTTTTCCTAGTAAATGTCCAGAAGAGTTTATCTGTGTGAAAGCAGGTAAAAACCCCAACTATGGTTATACTAGCTTTGACACATTCAGTTGGGCTTTCTTGTCCCTGTTTCGACTTATGACACAGGACTACTGGGAAAATCTTTATCAGCTGGTGAGTAAATAGTAAAAATTATTTAGTGTCTGACTGTCCTCAAAACAGACATGGAAAGGACCTTTGTTCATGTTATATATCACAGCTATAAACAGCAGCTGAGTAAGTGCAGCTTTTAGAAACAAATTCAGTTGCAGAATTAAGCAGTTACGGGCACTTTGTACAAAATCTGTACATAGTTTCTGAGTTCTGAGTAGGTACACAAGGGTTTTTTGTTCATCGCCTTCGGTTTTTACAGTGTTATGTTCTCTGACAGCAAAATGCAAATGAATCTTAATTTGTGCACCTTTAATCCTGTTTTTGATTACTTAAAAGATGCACTTTGTATAAGCTAATTTTCTTACCACAGTTTTCCATTACATAGCATGTGAAAATTTGTTAGTTGTAGTAAGCATTATCTTTAAAATTATTTATTCATTTGTGCCATCTTTAACTCTTTTTTTTATTCCAAGTACAAGGCATGCTGACATGCTTCAAGTATACTAAGCATCCGATCTTTGATGTGTGATTTACGTTAATTACACCGATCACACTTCTTTCTCAAGACTATTAGGCTTTAAAGTAGGTTTGCCACAAAGCAGCATGATCCTTAATTTTTTTCGTATATATTAAAGCTTCTTTTATTTTCATTGCTTTGTAATTCAGATAATTTTATATAATACTATGGACAGAAGGACAACTGAATTTTAGTTTTGCACTTTTCATACTCAGTGTTTCTGAATAGTGGAATTGATGCTTGTCTTCACCAAGAATTATTTTTTTTCTTCTCTTCTAGACGTTACGAGCTGTTGGCAAAACATACATGATATTTTTCGTTCTGGTTATTTTTCTGGGTTCCTTTTATTTGATTAACTTGATTTTGGCTGTGGTTGCCATGGCCTATGAAGAACAAAATCAAGCAACTATGGTTGAAGCAGAACAAAGGGAGGCAGACTTGCAGCAGATGCTTGAACAGCTGAAGAGGCAGCAAGAGGAAGCTGAGGTATTTTTTAAAAGAAAAATACCTGCCTTTTTTCCAAACACAAATCTATCTAGGCTTTTGTCACATATTTACAAGTCATGATACAAACTTCAGAAATAAACACTATGGCATTCTTGAAGGATTTTGTAATTTTAAAGCATCTGGTAGTTCAGATATCCTTTTAATGTTACATTAAAATGTTTATTTTGACAGGCAATAGTGGCAGCTGCAGCAGAGATGACAGAGTTTGGTGGTGAAAGTGGACCTTCAGACAGTTCTTCTGAAGCATCCAAGCTTAGCTCAAAAAGTGCCAAAGAAAGGAGAAATAGACGGAAGAAAAGAAGGCAGAGGGAGCATTCTGGAGAAGAGGATAACATGAAAGATACAAAGCTTTCAAAATCTGAGTCAGATGGCAGTATGAGAAGGAAAGGTTTCAGATTTTCTTTCGATGGCAATAAACTTGCTTATGGGACCCGGCTCACATCACCCCACCAGGTGCTGTGAATCATTCTGTTTTATTGTTTGGATTTGTGAGATAACTGTAATATTAAGAAAACTTCACTGTAACCTTGCGAAGTAATACAACATAGGAAAAGAATTTTCATTATTTTAAGTACTAACTGCATCTTGCAGGTGTCATTTTATAGTTTGGGATTGGGTGGTTCTCAGCGGGGTGCATGGCAGTATGGCATTTTCATTGTTCATTTGAAATAACAAATCATTTGTAATTCATAAAAGGAAAGTTTAAATGTAATATATCAATGTAGAAGACTATGGATATGAAGCACTTGATATCTTTTAACATAATACATGGTCTACGTGGATCATTAGAATTCCTAAAATCTTTATTTCCTCTCTAATAGAGAAATAGAAATTGCTGTGGCCTCATGCATATTCACCTTCTGTTCTTCAAAAAATTGTTTTACGTGTACTGTAAATTTACCTATTCAGATAATTCTCATCTCTCATGCATGCGTCCGAAGTGTACCTATGGTACTGTATTAAGAATAAAGTTGGAAAATTCCTGGGGAATATAAATTAATATTATGGATATCCATACTGTATATTATAAATCCTCAGCCAGTGTATTTGTTTGTTTCTTTTACAGTCTTTACTAAGCATTCGTGGCTCCCTGTTTTCCCCCAGACGTAGTAGCAGAACAAGTCTTTTCAGTTTTAGAGATCATGGAAAAGAGATAGGATCTGAAAATGACTTTGCTGATGATGAACACAGCACATTTGACGATAACGGAAGCAGAAGAGGTTCTCTTTTTGTACCACTGAGACACAGTGAACGACGTGGTAGTAATATTAGTCAAGCCAGCAGATCGTCAAGAAAGCTGACAATGTTTCCAGTGAATGGGAAGATGCATAGCACTGTGGATTGCAATGGTGTGGTTTCTTTAGTGGATAGACCTCCATGTCTCCTGTCGCCTACAGGGCAGCTTCTGCCAGAGGTAACAATAGACAAACCAACAACTGATGACAATGTAAGGAAATTTTTTGTACCCCAGATTTTGTGATATTTCCTCATTGCACCAGAGAATGTTGTGTTGAAATGGAATGCTTTGGGGGGGTGATCGAGAGATTCTGAATGCCTTTGTACGTCTTACTGTAATGAAAATGTTCTTAAATTGATTCACTCAAAAATAAGAAGCGTGAAAATGAAAGAGAACAAAATAACATATTTTTGTATACCTGCGTAGCAAGTAAAGAGATGTGTGCATCTCTATACTGAATAAAAATAATGTTGCACTGCTGAATCTGTTTCAGAATCCAGAATTAGGGTAGTCAACATTCTAAACTCTGCATATTCTTCATTTGTTATTTAGATTTTTTTTTTCCTTGTAGTTTTGGCCGCCATTTAAAAGTATTTCCTAATTCTCTGCCAGTAATCTGCTAGCTTTTACTTTTTTTTCCTCACCATATATTATGGAAATGTAGCATAGCCTTTTGGATTATATTCTAATACTCCGAAATACATTTTTCTGAGTCTCAGAGATTATGAAGTTTTTCACTGCCTAGGATCAGACTCTAATTAAAGAATTTTATGTGCAAATTCATCACTTTCTCCCTCTGGTCAGTCTTCTGTTTTGCCTGAATCTGCTTTTATGAATGGTTTGGTCCCGAAAACAAAGAAGTTTTACCTGGGTCCCAGCATCTGAATGTACGTCAGCGAGATTACTTAAAGTTATAACCTTCTTGAATTCTCTCAGACTTTCATTTTCATACATTTATTTAATGTATGAATAGGTCCATCCATGCTTGCACATCCAAAACTTTCTTTTAATTGAGATGTATGAGTGATAGAATTCAGATTTGTAACTTCAGTTTTATACGATAAAATTTATGTATATATATATCCATTTAGAGGGTCAGATAGGTCAGTCTTCTGTGATTTCTTATGTTGAAATTTGTAAAATCAATCAGATTATAGCTGTTTAATGTATAGATATATTTAGTTTTTAAGAATAAGATCCAGGCTGATCTGTAGAAGTTACTTTTAGAGAATAATTGTTATTGCAGAAATTTCCTTAAATAAATCACTTATTATATGTATCTTATGATCAAGCTGGTTTGGAATTGAAGTATTGATAAAGAAAGCATGAAACTGGGAGCTCTGATTTTTTTGTGTGTTTTTTTGTGGTTTTTTTTGTTTGCTTGTTTTTTGTTTTTTGTTTTGTTTTTCTGGTTCCCATGCTGTAACAGGTTTGATTTGTTTCTTTGGCAAAGAAGCTTACTTGTGTTTAGTATGAAGTTAATGGTAATTAATTATAATACAGTAGTGACTTGGAAATCAAATACCAAAACTGCTTTTTAGTACTTTATAAGTTACTTAACAGTATTCAGAAGTATAATATGAAAATACCCACTTAAAAAGCAAATACCAGGTTTATGTTGCAGTGGAAAAAATTCTAATGTAATTGCACAAACAGGAAGTTGCATATATTTATGCATTCAGTGAAACTGAAGAGTCTTTCTGATACCTATTCTTTCAGTATTTCTAAAGGTGAATTTAGTTTATCCTCCTCCTCTACCCAATTCTATTTGTTTCATAGAGTACTACTACAGAAATGGAAATAAAAAAGAGACGTTCAAGCTCATATCAAATACCGATGGATTTGCTGGAGGATCCCAATCTAAGACAAAGAGCCATGAGTATAGCTGGCATCATCACAAGTACAATGGAAGGTGTGTTATAACTGCAGATAAGTGAATTTTCTTGGCATAGTCATAGGTCTGCATGTATTGTATCACTTGCAAGTATAGCGGGCAAAAAAATAAATAGACCTTGAAGATAATTGATAGGAGGGAAGTGCATGTACATAGTTAAAGAAGTGAAGGAATCTGATAGGTAGGCTAAGCCAAAAACATAACAGATAAAATGTATGTGTTCTGTACTGGTTCACACAAGAAGAAACTTCTTTATTTTGGGTGGTGGGTATGAGGGTGACAGAGAACTGGAATAGGCGGAAAAGAGACGTGGTGGAGTCTCCTTCTCTGGAGATACTCAAAACCCACCAGGACAATTTTGTGCGCAACCTACACCACGGAGCTTGCTTTGTGGAGGAGGTTGGATGAGATGATCTCCAGAAATCCCTTCCAACTCTTACAGTTTTGTGATTAATATTTAGCAATAGAGTTACCGAAAGAATTATTCTACTAACTATAAGAAGATAATATTGAAATAAAGATTAGGCCTTAGTTAAAAGAGAGATTTTTTTTTTGTAGGATTATTTGAAAGTGACATTATTACTAACAACACTCTTGAAAAAGCTTGATATGTTTTCAAAAACTGAAATTAATATTATTTTTCTTGAAAGTAATTAAGCTGATGTTTGTGATGATTGTGAAGTTGAAGTTTTACTGAGTAAAGTATCTCTACATATAATGACAAATTTTGAAACCAAGGTTGTTATAAGAAGACAACTTTTTCAACTTTTACTAAAAATTCTTGAATGTTTTTCTTCTATTTTTATAATACCTTATCAGTCTGCAACTATATCTAAGTTGAAGATTCCTCCAAACATCATTAATGATTCAGGGATATATACATGAAAAAGCAATTAAAACAAAAAATACTCCATTCACAACTTGTTTGCTCTGCTTTCTTTTTCTTTTTTCTTTTTTTCTTTTTTTTTTTTTCTCCCTAGAACTCGAAGAATCCAGACAAAAATGTCCACCCTGCTGGTATAAGTTTGCCCACACATACTTAATTTGGAATTGTTGTGAGTTTTGGTTAAAAGTGAAGAGTGTAGTTTCATTTATTGTAATGGACCCAATTGTTGATCTGGCAATCACTATTTGCATAATTTTAAACACACTGTTTATGGCCTTGGAGCATTATCCAATGACGGAGACTTTTAACAATACACTTAAAGTAGGAAATCAGGTAAGTCCATCAAACTATATTATTTGATGCAATCTGAATATATAATCAAATAAAAATGAATTCTATTTAAAGGAGAAAGTATTATTAAAGTATTATCATCTCAAAAAGAAAAAAAAAAAAACAACAAAAAAAACCCACACATGTTTAAGTATAGTTTCCATTACTGACATTCCTGTAAATATTTTTCATTGATCAGATTTTGGATGGTAGAAAACAAAAGAAGAAATCTGATTTGATTTTATTCAGCATTACAAGAAACAAAGGTGCTAAATTAGATCCTTTCTACTGTAAGCGTCATTAATGACAAAGTCGCTCCAAAAATAATGCCTTCACTCTTTATTATGTTGGCTCACAACATCAGTGGCAGACATTGGTGGTATGGTTATAAAGTTTGAATCTTTCCACCATTATTTCATTACATTTTGTTGCTTGTGACATTTGGCAGCAAAGGGGCAGTCTGACATGGGAGTATGAAACAAAGGTGTGTAACTAACTTCCCCCATGTGAAAAAATTGCACCCATTGCCATTCATCAGTGTTTTCTGAATGTTTGTTGAGACCTGCCAGTGGATGTGAGGGCAGTGAGACAGTGGATGGTGCATTCCAACAGTGATGACAGTGATGTGAAAGATAAGCCATATTCTGGATGGCCATGCACACACAGGTGAAGAACATCTTGAGCAGCTTGTCTGTAGAAATCTACAGATTATGATCAGGGAGCTGTGTACGGACCTGAATATCAGCTTCAAACTGTTGGAAACATGGTGGCAACATTAGAATACTGCGAAGTTGTTTCAGCTGGGTCCAACAAATACACAGAAGCAAAAAGTGTATGATGTGTCAGTTTTTCAGGGCCTATTGAACCAATACAAGGTTGAAGGTCACAGCTTCTTGGATTGCATTGTTAACAGTGACAAGATGTGGTGTCACCACTATCAGCCAGTCAAAACAGCAGTCGGCAGTGTGGCTATGTATGGATTCCCCACTCAATAAAAAGTTCAAGATGCACTTTGCCATCAGCATGGAAAGTGATCTCCACTGTCTTTTGGGATATGAATGGGATGATCCTTCTGGATTTCCTGGAAACTGGAGAAGCCATTAACTCTGACTGCTGCATTGCAGTGCTGACCAAGGTGAACGTTCGTACTTTCAGAGAAGAAGACAACCTTCCTCTTGCAACACAGTAATGCCAGACCCCATTTTGAAGACAGTGGAGCATGTTGCCAATCTAGTCTGAACTATCCTACCACACACACATCTTATTTTCCAGATTCGGTACGTTTCAGCTTCCATCTTCTCGAGCTGAAGAAAGATGGACTGCATGGGCAACCTTTTCCTTGCAACACCACTATCACAGCAGCTCTGTAACAGTGGGTCTGCTGGTGCAGATTTTTGCTAGTGTGGCATGTAGTCTTTTGTTCATTGCTGGAGAAAATTCATAGGTAATGATGGTGGCTATGTTGAAAAATACTGTTTTGTATCTGAGAATTTGCTCCCTCAAATAGTGTTATTGTGCTCTTTTTATCTCTTGTACTTTTCATGGAAACAGATAGGAGGCATTACTTTTGGAGGAACTTACGAAAGACCAGAAGTGTTGGATATTACTTTACTATTTTGCACTGGTATTTTTCTTATTATCTTTGTATTTAGGAGCGTTGCTTTGACTGATCCATAACAATTGGAATACAAAGAACTTGTGTTTTATATTGAGTATATGTAAATACAGATGGTTTTTTTTCCCCACAAAACAGGTCTGCAGGTGGCTTCGGTTGTTCTCGTATTTTTATAATGGAAATACTACAGGTCATCTGCTGTACTTCTCACCTATGCTTATTATAAGTGTTAATTCTTATTATTGCAGTGTAGCAAAATCATAATTCTAGTACAGCCTAGTTGAGAATATATTCAGCTTTGTTTGCAAAGTTGTTAATGTCAGCACTTACTTGAATAGTATCCAGGTGTTTTTAGCAAATATAGATGTTGTTCATTTGTACTTGTATAGTGTCAGCAGTTGGTTTTTTTTGCTTTTTGAACTGTTTTAAAGTTTACTGAATATTCTTGATTTTTTAAAAATATAATTTATCTTAGTAAAACGTGATTGATGTGGCTCTATAGATGCAGGTGGGCATACATTTACAGTAAATACAATGGATTTCCTCTCTTTTCAGAAGCATTGTATGCTTCCTCTGTATCCTGTCAGAAGCAGAAAAGTTTAACTTCAAACGTGAGCCTTGACAAAATTGGCCTTTTTTTGTTTTGCAGTTAGCAAAGAGGAGGCATCCAGATTGTCACTGTGAATTCTGAAGTACTGATTTAATAGCATATCACTCTCCACTTTTTGGTCATTTCATATATCTTCTACAGTTTAGTTAAAGCAGCTTCCATTCTGGCAAGGTAATCTATCTTGCTGGGAAATATTCCTTTATTTAGACATAGAACAGATGGGGAGCAAACAGGAGGTGAATTAGAGATGGTTTATTCTTCACAAGATACTAAATGCATCTCAAGCTTAACTGAAAGTTAATCAAATTGCACTGCAGCTCATTTTGATTTTGACACTTTTCTTCTCTGCGATAATTTTCCTTACTGATGTTCTGCTGTAAGAAAATTGTCATGTTTAAGTTGTTCTTTGTCGTCTGGTTCAGCTAATTTGTAATCATTTATAAATTAGTAATACATATTCTTCTTTTAGGTTTTTACTGGAATTTTTGCAGCAGAAATGGTTCTCAAGATAATTGCCATGGATCCTTTTTATTATTTCCAAGTTGGCTGGAATATTTTTGATAGCTTTATAGTTACCCTCAGTTTGGTGGAGCTTTTTCTGGCAAATGTGGATGGATTATCTGTTCTACGATCGTTCAGATTGGTAAATAAATTAATGATTAAATGATATTTGCTAATGCATTATGTGTAGTAAATTTTAATTGTATGTATGCAAATAGAATTGTAATTTATACACTAATATATTGCTAATAATTACATAGTACTGTTTTTTTTTCTGAAGTGTCACAGGCTATCTCAGCAAACAGGTTTTACGAAATTATTTACCATTGAATAGCATATGCTATTTTATGGTTCAGAAGCAGCAGTGTTTTTCAAGGAAAAGAGGCGTAATATTACTGTAATTATATTGATGTGGTTGGGCAACAGTACAGTGTGCATATAATTTACTGTATATTGAGAGAGGATGTAAATAAATAAACATTTGTAGTCTTGTTTGAAGCCATATCTGAAAGTTACCAAAAAAGTAACTTTTCTTTTAAAATGTAGGATTTATAAATTTCATAAATTAATCTTTAAAGGAAATCTTTATGCCCTTCAGAAAAATGAATGCTTTATTATAATACATTTCTGTAGTATTTTTGTAACTGCTTCAAATAATGTCTCTGTATTTTCATTTTTCAGCTTCGAGTTTTCAAGTTGGCAAAATCTTGGCCAACTCTAAATATGCTGATTAAGATTATTGGCAACTCAGTGGGGGCTTTGGGTAATTTGACCCTGGTATTGGCCATCGTTGTGTTCATTTTTGCTGTGGTTGGGATGCAGCTGTTTGGGAAATACTACAAGGAATGTGTCTGCAAGATCTCTAGCGACTGCGAACTTCCACGCTGGCACATGCACGACTTTTTCCACTCTTTCTTGATTGTATTCCGAGTGCTGTGTGGAGAATGGATAGAAACGATGTGGGACTGCATGGAGGTTGCAGGGCAGCCTATGTGCCTTACTGTCTTCATGATGGTCATGGTGATTGGAAACCTAGTGGTATGTAGCCAAAATAAATCAAGAGTTCATGTAGAGAAAGAATAATAATGAAACAAGTAATGAAGCAGTTTTGTAGCATTAGATGTATTACTTAAATGTTTTTTTATGATTTTGAGTGCTGAGAATATGGATTCTGCATGTTATATTTCTGATCCTAAGTAAAATCCTCAAAATGGAGGCTGGATCTTAGGGTAAAATTCAGGGGATATGAGTGAGGAGGAGAAGCATCATGTGTTCAGGGCTTTGTGGACTAATCTGGTTACTTAGAGTAGCATAGGCACGACAAATATTCACCTTGGATAGGAGTTTGCCATTGGCACAAGCAGACTTAAGAGGGCATTTTCTTCCTAGTCAGTGATGGCACCACTTGAAATTACACATAGCCAGTTGTTTTCTTTTTCTTTCTTTCTTTCTTTTTTTTTTTTCCCCTTGCTCTTTCCTGTCCAAAAAACTGCTTTAAAATTCTTTTACTCTGAAGTTCAATCCATTTTGAACCCTACTTACTTCTGACTTTTTACACAGTGGGGAGGGAAAGGAAATTTGAGTAGGAAAGCAGTAGTATTGCTTAAAAAACAGATTCAAATACTTCACATTTACTTTCACTCCTATTCATTTTTTTTGCTTCCCAATTCTTAAGTGCTTTTTACAAACACTTTAAAATACCTTCTTTCTCTCTGAAAGAGGAAAGCATCAGACCAGTTTGTACATTGCCATGTATGAATTTGTCTTTTAAAACATGATTTATATTTATTAACACACTAGTGTTTGAAACCTTGATCTCTCAGCCTTTTATTCTGCTTTTCTCACTGCCCACTGAGTCTTCCTGTGAAATTCTACATCTTTTCTTTAGGTAATTGACAGCAGCAAAAGAGGTTTCAAATTAGCCATCTTAATTTCATTCTTTAGCAGTGAAATTCTAATAGGAATAAGCTAAATAGTTTCAAACCAGTCATGTTACTCGTGGAACAGCCATTTGCTCCAGGATTATCTGCAAATCTGTTCTCTTATAATGAAGAAAATGGGGGCATGAGTTATCAAGCAACATATCCTTGTCAAATAGTTTTCTATACTATAGTTTCTTCTATGCTAGAAGAGAGATCTTTGTGTAATGAAGTATCCATCTCTATAATTTTTTCACAGCATTCACTGTATTTTGATTTTATACCATAGCTCTAGCGGAATTTCTTATGTGAATAGACAATCTCTACTGTTTCTTCAGAGATCTGTTATGCAGTTGTCTTCCTGCATTCCCAACAATATAGTTTTACTCTGTCTTCAGAGCTGCCTAGAAGATCTTGGTCTGAAGACCTTAAGAGCTGCTACTGTACAGGTTAATTGGATACTGCTCTATCTAATACCTTTAGAATCTTAGTGAACCCTGGACTTACATAACTGAAATTTATTCTGTCTTGCAGTTGGAAGATGATGAGACCTACGAATTGAGGGAAGGGCTGCTTTGTCTTAAGTCACAGATAGCAAAATATGTGTGGGTTTGTACCAGCCTGTAAAAAAACAATTTCTGCGTAGATCAACTATGCTTTGATGCAGAGTGCTTCCCTATGCTAGAGAAGTAAATGTTTTGGATCAGTTCAGTCAGTGTTGAATACATTCATTTCTGACCTTAATACCCTTTCACAAACATGAGCAGAAGGAGAGCTTAGAAATTTTTGTAGCTTGTATTTCTGTATCTCTATTGTCAAAATGAAACTGCTTTGTGTGTAGAGCAGGTGTTGTGCTTACATTTCATTTACATTTTATTTACTGTTTAATTTCCAGAATCACACAGTGGAGAAAGTGAAATCTAAGTTGTTTATAGTAGGTGATAGAAGAAACATGTGAATTAAATTAAAAAAAAAAAAAAAAACACAGGTGTATTTTCTTTGTTTTCAGGTATTGAACCTTTTTCTGGCCTTGCTGCTGAGTTCATTTAGTTCAGACAGCCTTTCTCCTACCGAGGATGATAATGAAATGAATAATTTACAGATAGCTGTTGCAAGAATTCAGAAGGGAATAGATTTTGTGAAGGAAAAAGTAGGTGAATATATTCAAAAATCTTGCTGGAAGAAACAAGTGGCTGCAAATGAAAGAACAGCAACAGATCAGTTGAATGATGAAAGACACCATTGCATTTCCAACTGTACCGTTGCTGAAATAAAGATAGATACAACTTACCACAAAAATGAGAATGGAACAGCTGGTGTTGTAGAGAACAGTGACTATCCATTGTTCATAAACAACCCAAGCCTTACTGTTACAGTACCGATAGCTGTTGGAGAATCTGACTTTGAACATATAAATACAGAAGAGTTTAGTAGCGACTCAGATTTGGAGGAAAGCAAGGAGGTAAGATTTAAATGACTTCCAGTTTATATGAATGACTTTTGTGATCTTCTGTCATAGAACACTTGTTTTTTTTTTCTTATGGTAGTACTTCCTTGTTGCAAATAGAAAATTATTACAATTTCAGATTGCCGGACTGGACTGAGAATGAATTGTGAATTGAGAAACATGGAGCTAAAGGCAAAATTATTTGAAGACATATGAAACCATTATAAAAGAGTTTTGAAAAGTAGTCTTTTCCAAATATCAAATAATATTATTTTGTATAGGAATAAATTATATAATGAGAATGAACAGACAAAAGACATTGGTTTAGTATATGAGCATAATGTTTCCATGAAGTAAGGATGCAAGTAAACTGCTGTTAAAAAACAGTAAATAGACATCTTAAAAAATAAAAAATAATAAAAAAAAATAGTAATGCTATTTGCATCTGATTTCTAAAGCACACTGAATTCAGCTTTGTGTAGGATAAGCTAAGAAGGTACTAACTAAAGCTAATTATAGAAGGAACGGTTTTCCAGTTCTAAATTTACATTATGGGAAAAAGCCAGGAGAACAGTGGTAGTATTATAAGGTGAAAATGATGTATTAAAAGGACAAGGAAAAAATACAACTACTAATGAAAATATTTAATTTTTGTTGGTGGGAATTTTGCAGCAGCCACTTCAAAGACATCTGCTTTACCTTAAATTGGGGCAGCTTTAGGACTGTCAGTGCTGATGCAAACATCCCTACTCCAGTCTAGATTGGTGTGTCCAGATTGTTTTGGTGTTTGGGGTATTTTTGTTTTTTTCTTGGTTTGTGTTTGTTTTAAGTTGGCATTGAATTTGCCCTTATTCTTTTCAAATTATTTTAGAAATGAGTTTGTTGCAGCAAAGTCTAATTAAATTTAATTTGAAAGGTGTAATAAAGTGTCTCTTAAGGTGTTTCTTTTATTGTAGAGTATGGTGAGTAACTTTATTGCATTTGTCAGGAAAACAGATATTGAAATAGTGAATGCCTGATTTTGTCCATCTTCTTTTTGGAGATTCTGTTACTCAATGCACTATGTTGACCTCTCAGCTGAGAAGACCTTAAGTTAACAAGAGACCTCTTAAAAACAAACATATATTCGTAACTTGTTTTATGGTATTAATTTTGCATTGTAGAGAAGCTATGACGTGTCAAACAGCTGCTACATCTTTCACTTACTGTTAATCAAAAGGAAGGATGCTGGCTTTTGTATGTTTAAAAATATACTGGTTTTGGGGAAGGAATGTCTGAATTCAGGAATTCTTCTGCTCTGATAACTGTTAAATCTACATCTTGTATGTAAATTATGCAGAAGCTTTAGGCACCTGGATCTTTACTGTTCTGTATTTAAGAACTGATTAACAAATCCTATTACAATCCGTAATGTACCATAAATCCTTAGTCTACTGATGATATTATTTACCTAGAAGTTTTCGTGTTTGACCCAATAGAATTGAATTCAGTTTTGTTTTCTTTTGTCACACGGCTTCTTTCTGAAAGTGTATCATAGATATACATTTAGCATGTAGTAAAGATTAGGAATAACTTTTCTCTACATTTCAGGCCAAAGTTAAACTAAGAGCCACATCTATTCTACTAATTTTATCTTTTTCAGTGTGTCCTTGGATATTCCTGAAGCTCTAAGCAACAGTAATAAATGTTATGTTTTGAAAACGTGTAATATGTCTGGAAAACATATTTAAATGAGTATCAATCCATACCTCTACTGTTTCCAGAACTCAAACAATCCAAAGGGGGTACCATGTTTTAACTTCATTGCGTACCATTCTTCTCACAGGAGTAAAATCAAGCTGGATCAGTCAAGAATGCAGCTCTGGTGCTTTTTAACCAGGCAGAGCAACGTGTCAGCACGTTTACACAGGTTATCTAAAAGAATCATACATATATACGATCACTTTTGAGATTGACTAGCCTGCATGCTACTCAGTTGCAATATATTTTTCCCCATCCATTGCAATGTAGTGGAAACATGCACAGCCACTGAGTCCCACGACTCGCATCGCAGCATGGTTGGGGGGAGCCCCAACATGTTCCTCTGTCCTTGTTACATCTTTGGTATTTTCTGTACTACTTCTGTTGCATAAGCTGCATGCTTTGTAGGCTTTAATTATTGTAAACTGAATTGTTGTCAAGACTATTCAGGGTCTAAAATGATTAGCAGCCTGTGGCTTTAAGAAAATGGAAAGGTAATCTTCATTTGTTCTGTTCATCTGTTGAACTGTGTTTTTAATTGTCATGTAATTACAAACATTTTGTGATTGTGTTCATTTGCCCAGTGCCTAATGATCTTCTTTAATCTTATAGTTACGTGTATGCTAAAATGTTTATAACTTTCAGTATAAATTGTCTCCTATTTATTCAAAATGGTGGTGGTTTTTTTTGTTTTTGTTTTTTTTTTTTCTCATTTATACTTCAGTTTTTCTTTTAGGGGAAGCTAAAATAACAGAATGAAAGATATAGTCCTGGGAACAGTAAAGCAAGTTTCTTCTTATTATTACTATTTTGCATACTCCTTTTGAATGTGGTTGTAATGATGTAGTTATGTTCTGCTCATGAAATTTATGTGTGCCTAACACTGGAAGTTAATAACTCGTATCACTGTAGCTATTCATCAGGAATAATTTTTTCATTGTGAATTTAGTTCAGTTATACTTATGAAGACAGATATTAAAAATAATTTTAGTCAAATTTTTTGTATGGGATTTAGGTGTCTAAATCAATCTGGGCTTTCTTGAAAAATTGAAAATGAGAAAGATGAGCAAGAAAAAAATACAAAAATTATGAAAATAAAGAGTAAGGCTACAATTAAGACAACTGTTTTTAAAAACAAGGTAGCAAATAGTACCCTCACAAAACTCTTAACTCAGGAGCTCGAAAACTATGAAACAAACATTAGTTATATCAGTTACATATTTCCTGTCCCTGATTATCTCTTCTGAATAAGTGGGAATTCGCACTTAACATTTAGGGATCATTTTCCATGTAGCTTTTTTTGTTGTTGTTAATGTGATTTTGTTGTAGTATCCCATGTTCTCTCTCGTGTATTCTTTTGTGCTGTATTATATATTAGAAGTATTTCAGGTCTCACTTTTGTGCCTTGGGCTTGCAAGCTGTTCAGAGAGGTGGAATGGGAAAATATCTTCTCAACAACTTTTCTAGCCATTTTAGAAAAGGTGCTTAAATGGGAGAGGAGAAACCATTAGTGTGGCATTCTACTGGTGCTACGTATGGAGCAATGGTTCAGATTTGGTGGATATTGTTTATGTGACCCTGCTCTGGTTTCAAGTTCCTTCTGCCATGAATTTGGACAGGTGTAGAACAGCATGTGAAATACCAAACCAAGGACTTTGAATATTTTAATTGAAAATTCTTGAATTTTTATTTGACGCTCATATCACCTTATTATTACTTTATGTTAGCAGTACTGTGATTCTTATCTGTTATCTTTTTTTCTCCTGTTTTTCTTTTAAAAAGACACACGCATGGATTTAATTTTTTCCCAAGTTATGGATGTGGAGAGGGATATTGGTATTCTAAAGGAAAAAAAAAAAAAGCCCACATTGAGAAAACTGTCAGTGTAGTAATTCTTGAGCCTTACTTAGAAATGCTTATTTTTACTCTGTATAAATAGAAAGACCCCTTCAAAATGGTTGTCACTGGTTGTAATTACGTTGAATTTACACAGTCAGGGAACAGTCAGGCTAGATGGAATAATGAGGTATTTCCTGCTGAAAATAGAATTTTCCTGCTGAAAATGGATTAAGCAATGAAATACAGAATTTGTGGAGTGAAGGTGGTGTAACGGGTTTGCTAAGAATTTCGGTTGCATTTCTATATAGTAATATTTATTACACACAGAAGCACAGAATGGCCTGAGTTGGAAGGGACCTCAAGGATCATGAATCTCCAACCCCCCTGCCACATGCAGGGCCACCAACCTCCCCATTTAATACTACACCAGGCTGCCCAGGGCCCCATCCAATCCTCTCGAATGGGTTGTTACCAACAACTGTTTTTTACTTTTAACTAGTAGGGATTTGTGAACTGTTTACTCATTCTTTTGTCTTTCTTCTTTTAAGCAACACTAGTAATTTATTTTCTCATTTCTCTCTTTCAGGTTTTTATTTTTTCACTTATATGTTACAGTTTTTTTTTTCTGTCATTAACAGCTGTGTTAATGGTACATTTGCTCTTTGCTTTAACATTAGAGGACTATATTGGATTTTCCCTTACTATTTGAATATTAAAAATTGAATTATTTATAAGTTGATGTGCGATAGGTTGCGCCATGTGAATGGTCAGTGAGCTAATTATTATTTGGTCTCGTTGTGGAAGTTCTTTGTAAATTCATCATCTGCAATTTTCAGTGCTTTCATTTGTTATATTTGAGATGATGCTCACTACAAATTTATGCTTTACTAATTACCTAAAGCAATCAAAAGTGGCTTCAGATCGATAATTGAATGTAATTGTATTTGTAACTGTATTTGTGCCATTATACCTTCAGTTCCCTAAAAGAAAGAAAGAAATCCTGAGCTCCAGATTTTGACCTTATACCACTACAGTAGGTTTGGAAGTAAATGCACTCAAAATCTGAGTAACTTTTCACTGCCAACAGTGACACTTCCATCTTAAAAAGAAAAAAAAAAAAAAAAAAAAAAAAGAGTATTAATGAGGGAAATATTATATTAATGACCAAAAATGTTTTAGCTTCTGATCTGCAAGCCTAATCACCTAACCAACTTTTGAGTACATTGATAATCCATTCAGTCCAGTTTTTAGTGTATAACCAGTGAGACCCTCTTAATTGAGTTTGGTATACTCTGAACAGCAGCTAAATGTTCTCAAAGGTGAAGTATGAACCATCTCTCCTAAAACTCCTCCCACTGGAGTTGTTCATAAAATCTGTTGAATCTCTGCAAACTTCGTGCATAGCAAAGAAACTAACCATGTCTAATTCAGTCAAAACAAGAAAGTTTTCTGTACATATTTCTTTTTTTTTTAACTGCCAGTTTTGGTGGTGGTGATGTTGTTTGATATGAGTGGAAAATGTTTGTATGTCACATAAAGAAGACAGCTGGAGCTTGATTAAACCTGTTACTCTTCAAGGCCAGGATTATAACTTATATCTTAGAAGGAGTGAACCAGGCCAGCTGTCTTTTATATTAGAATAGTTCATAGAGCTTTCAGTTTTCACCTAGAGTCAAAAATATTTTTAAGCTAAAAAATTAAAATGCTCTGTAATTTCTGATTATTCTATTATGTAATAAATGAGATACCTAACTTCCTGTTCTAACCACGTTGCACCAGAGGAGATTTAGATTAGACACAAGGAAAACTTTTTCTCTTAAGGGGTGATCAGGCGCTGGAATGGCCTGCTCAGGGAGTGGTGGAGTCGCCCTCCCTGGTGGTATTTGAGAGGCTTCTAGATGAGGTGCTACGAGATGGTAGCTATTATGGTTTAGTAGCTTAGTGGGTAGTAACAGTGATAGGAGGACGGTTGAACTAGATAATCTTGTAGGTCCTCTCCAACTTCGTGATTCTGATTCTTTTCAGTTTCTTTTATTTTTACAGTTGTTCTTCCATTGCTGTTTGTAACACTTAAAAATCTGTATTCTTTCACTTGAATTCATATCACCTGTTTAGAAGGATATATTAATTAGCTCATAGTTCAGATGTCCCAGAGCACTGAGTGTTTTTTGTAATTTCTACTAGCAATATGACACAAAACTTCCTTACTGTTACGAATAAGAAGATGTAATTATTTTTGTGTTTTATAATTCAGTTCATAAATTCAGTTTTCCCACCACTGCTGCAGCATTTTTTAAAATATTAGCTATGTCATGGAATGATGAAAGCAGAATATTAATAAAATAATGCATTTATAATGCTCTTCTCAGATTCAGTAGGATTAGCGACTGGGAAAAATTTGCTGTGAATATTTGTATTTTAAAATTAATGCTTCTAAAAATGAGTAGAGATGTTTACATTAAACGTGAGTAACTTTGGAGTTCTATTTCAGACAAGTTTTAAAATGGCTGCAAAATAGGAAATATCAAATTATTTTCAATAAAAGTTAATGCAGAACACTGAATTAGTTTCTCTTATTAAGTAGTCTCTACCTTCTTTCACAAACATGTATGTATATAAAAAGTAGACTTTCATTAAAAGTTTTGTTTTCACTCATTTTAAAAATGAGGTGTAAGTAGTTTAACTTGTCTGTTGTTATATTTTAAATACCTATTAATTGTGTAAGTCTAGCAAATTCATGAAAATGATGTCAATTGTACAAAATTCAGGCTGTTTTACAAAGTGTGCTTACATCATTCCCTACAGACATTTACTTGTGTTTCAGTGAATCTGTGTCTGACATTATGTACTTTTCATAATGAGATCATAAAATGTCAGAGAATGCCGTGACAAAAACTACTTAGACTTAGTTTGGTACTCATACCTAGATCAAATGTACAGGACACAACGTTCTTCATTTAAAATCTCCAGATTATGGACTGAGTGCAAGGTACATGGATATTACATGATAAAAAATAAAATTGAGCTTATGTTTTTATTAGCATTTGTTTTAGTACTATTGCAATTATTTAAAAAACATATATATATACCTTTTCTTTCAAGGTGTTAACTGTACAGGTATGCGTACCAGAGTAACAGGTAGTTTCATAATGCACAATGTAATACATACGTGCATTGACAAAAAAAAAAAAAAAGAGATTGCATAAATGCATATTAATGCCAGTTGAAATGTATTGGTTATACTTTTTCCTATTCAAAACTTTTGATTACATTTGAAAAACAAAATAAAAGTGTTCATGTTGTAGCAATAACTGTATGTCAACATAGGGCATGTGTAATTCGTTTTACAAATGTATTAGGGAAGTGTTCAAATTCATGTTCAAATTTGAAACAGGATTTTATAATAATCCTGGATTTTAGCATTTTCCAATCTACCAATGATCATTATATTGAAACAAAAAGAACGTAAATGTATTAATATTTATTAATCAACAGTAACCAAATTTTATTGTAAATTTGTCACATGCTAGAAGTAGTTAGCTTGTACTATCAAGAACTTTGCTGCCAAGGTTGAGGAGACTGCCATGACGAAAGCAATTACAAACATGTATTATCTAAAGCATACAGTATAGTTCATATTGATTTAAAATGTAGAGACATAGAATATAGAAAGAAAATAGTGGACCAAAAAAAAAAAAAAAAGTATTTAAAAATCTACTTGTTTGTAGTTACTTTTGAGGAATTCTAACATTGTATTATAATTCCAGAATTTCTGGAATTCAGTAAAATACTGCATAATGCTACTATCTGGTGGTAGAAAGGAGATGATTTATGCACATTTCAACAGCATTGACTGCTATATGTGGATGTTTGTGTGACAAGTGTTGTTCTTATTGTTACTGATACAGTGTGTTGCATGCTTAATATTAATTTCAGTTCTAAAAATGTAAATAATATGAAAGTATAACTGCTACTATGGACTTCTATTTTCAGAAGATAAATCTTTCCAGCTCATCTGAAGGAAGTACAGTTAATTTGGCTCTCTTTGAAGAAAAAGCTGAGACTGAACCAGAAAAAGCAGCAGAGCTGCAGACATGTTTTACAGAAGGTATGAAAATGAAATTTGAAGTTAGCAATTGTTGGAAACAAGCATTTGCAGTTCAAGGAAGCTTTTTTGCCGGTGCAGCTCCAGGTCCTGATTTAAGTCTTAGAATGTGATTAATTTTGCCTTTCATAGGGGCAAAAAAAAGGGGAGATGCAGGAAAGAAGGGGACAGACTTTTAGCAGTATCTGTGCTGACAGAGCAAGAAGAACTCATTTCAAACTTAGAGAGGAGATTTAGGTTCAGTGTAAGGAAAAAGTATTTTACAATGAGGGTGGTGAGACATTGGAACAGGTTGCACAAAGAGGTGATAGATGCTCTGTCCCTGAAGACTTTCAAGGCAAAGCTGGACCAGGCTCTGAGCAACTTGATCTAAATGTAGATGACCCTGTTCATTGCAGGGGAGTTGGAGAAGATGACCTTTAAAGGTCCCTTCTAACTCCAAGGATTCTATGATTCAAAAACCTTATAATGGCTTGTGATTGTATTGTTAGGTTGTATACAGAAGTTTAAATGCTGTAGATGCAATATGGAAAGCAGAAGAGGAATAATCTGGTGGAATCTTAGAAAAACTTGCTACAGGATAGTAGAACACAACTGGTTTGAAACATTCATTGTCTTCATGATTCTTCTCAGCAGTGGTACTCTGGTAAGTAGAACATACACCCATAGAAACAGTGTCTATAAGGAATGTTTTATCATAGATAAAAAATATGTTTTAAACGTATGTTAAAACATACTTATGTTCACTAAGGAAAAACTGAGAGTTGATTGAAAGGAGACCTTCCCATAGTATTTTCCCAGTGCATATAAAATCATTAAAATTCTGTTGTCAAATAACCTTCTGCAAGTCAGTTATGATGAATACAAGATGATGCATGTGTGAAAGGGTGCTTATCAAGAGGATTATACTTAAAATCTTGTTGAGGAAATTAGAACAATAACTGGAACAGATATTCAGCTGTAAATTAAAATAGTCTTCAAAAGCAGTACAAATGCTGATTTGTTCACGTTCTCTTATTTTTCTCTTCTGTTGGTTGTATTTATTATCATCAGGAGACTGCCTTCTCTTTGAGTCAAAGTGGGCTTATCAGAGTGACAGGTTGTAATTCCGTGTTGACTTAATAAAATTTTTTAAAAGCTTGTTTGGCAACTTTACTCATTATATTGTAATCCCATTATTAGGAGACAATAAAGTCTAAAACTTGTACATGTTGTCTCTGCTTATGCTGGCTTTTAACAAAAGGTTAAAAAAAGCTTTTTTTTTAAAGGTTAAAAAAAAAATAGTTAAAAAAGCAATTTTTCTTTGCCTTTTTTTTCATCAGTTCTTATGGCTTCTTAGTTTCCAAAGTCCTATTAATATCTGACTTACATGCAACCCATTTTTTACAGGCTTTTGAAGATATATATATTGAACAGCGCAAGACTATCAAGGTCATACTGGACTATGCTGATAAAATCTTCACTTATATCTTTATTCTGGAAATGGTGCTAAAATGGGTGGCTTATGGTTTTCAAACTTACTTCACTAATGCCTGGTGCTGGCTGGACTTCCTGATTGTTGATGTAGGTACTATAGTCTCTACGTAACCTATTTCTGGTGTATGGTCTAGTCATTTCATGGAACTCCAATTTGATATGTAAATATGCAGTGAAGAATACGAATTGAGTTAAAAATAAGAGAATGATATATTGATAAACGAGTTTCTGTTGTAATTATGTAATGAGTAACTAAATACTAATTCATTTATATGTTATTGTTAACTCCATCTCTTTAGTCTCTGTCTTGCTGTTTTGGGTCTCAGTCAGTGATTGAGGTATATTATTTGAAAGGATTTCAGTCTTTTGTATTCAGTAACAGAGCAAGGAGGAAGCAAACACAGAAGAGAGATGGAGGGAGCACGTAGGTTGTAGTAGGACAGCTGATTCTGGGCTTAATGACTTACTGGTGAAGCACTGTGAAGATCAGGATGTCATGAAGACAGTAAAAGAATGGGACAGCATGGAGGTAACAATTAAAGAAAAGGTTTGAGGAAAACAGAGAGTAATGGTGGCCAAATGCATCACTTCAAAAAGTTGTGAATCAACTTTCCTCATTTTGACTAGTACAGTACTTACTACTGTTTACTAGGTTGCAAGGCTAATTTCTAGAGATTAACATTTATTTTTGTTTAAATTATTCTGAATTTTGCAGACAACTTTATATTCCCTTTTTTTTGCCTCCAATATCCAGATTGAATTTATCTTCCTTCTAGGTATTACATTTTTATTGTGAGGATACTTTAAAAAGAAAAGATTGTTCTTTTTCTTCTAGGTCTCCTTAGTTAGCTTAGTAGCTAATGCTCTCGGTTTCTCAGAACTTGGTGCAATTAAATCTCTCCGAACATTAAGGGCTTTGAGACCTCTAAGAGCTTTGTCACGCTTCGAAGGAATGAGGGTAAGAAAAAAGGAGACCATGTAATAATGTGCAAAACAATTTCATAAAAATGTGCCTAATAAACTATTAAATCACTGAGAAACACCGAACTGCATGTGCAGTAGCAAGGCAAACAGTAGTGGATGACTCTATTATGTTTTTCTTTTTTTTATATGCATTATTTCAATATATTCTGATGTTTTACTCTACATCTTTTATTTCAGAAAAAAAGCACAACTTGATCACTGCTATTTAGGTATAAATGTAAGCATATAGTTTCTAAAAGTTTTTTTTCTGTGTTTCTTCATTAGGTGGTTGTGAATGCTCTTACTGGAGCAATCCCATCCATAATGAATGTGCTTCTGGTTTGTCTAACATTCTGGCTAATTTTCAGCATCATGGGAGTAAATCTGTTTGCTGGCAAGTTCTTTTACTGTGTTAACACCACAACTGGACTTCAATTCAAACCAGATGAAGTTGATAACAAAACTATGTGTGAAAATCGTAGGAGCACTGCATCAGATGTTCAATGGAAAAATGTGAAAGTAAACTTCGATAATGTTGGAGCTGGTTATCTTTCTTTGCTTCAAGTAGTAAGTGTATAAATTTTGATAAATTTTTCCAGCTTAAAGTTGTGTAGCAGTAGCATTTCATTCCATTATTTTCAGTGTTCAGTGTTTTACAATATATACATAAAGTATTTTTATTCTATGAAGCTATTTACAATTGATTATGGTAACAATCTCATAGATTCTACAGATGTTTTGGAAGAAGACAAATTTATGATATCTTCCAAGTAAATGTGAGATTTTTTTTACATCCAGCTACTCATTTTCCAATTCTATAGAAATAAAAAATGTAAAAATATAATCTCTCCCTACCCCTCTTCTCACAAAAAAAAAAAAAAACAAACAAAAAACAACAACAACAACAAAAAAAACCCCAAAACAAAACAAAAAAAAGAAAACCAAAAAAAAAAAAAAAACACTGGGATTTTTTTAAATTATTTGTTTGATCCATTAAGGTGTTAAGGCATGTTGATGCAGATTTTTAGCATCACACTCAGATACACTGCAGAGCTTATTCAAATAATGATAGTGGGTCTCTCCACGTCACTTACACATTTCACTATTGATATGGAAATAAAGAGATAAAAGAAAAGGATTTTAAATTCATTTTTTCGTTTCTGTTCTTTCTCTTATTCCTGATAGCTGCATTCCACCTGCAACACATACAAATTGGAGGCAGTAGGACAGAAACTTGGATTCTTAATCAGGTTCACTTGACAAACTGCTTCTGGGAAAACATTTGTGTTGATAAGCACTTGGCCATTATTCTGTCTTTCAAACTCTCCAGCTGGTTGTGGGTAGTTAGTGTTATGCGAGTAAGTTGGCAGCTGGTTGCTCAAGGGAGAAGTAGTAGTTATTTCTAAATGTCGCTAAGCAATTGCATAATTTAAGAAGATTTCTTGGGACTACTTACATTCTGGACTTTCTTTTAGAATTACTTACGTATTAGGCCTGAAAATGCCAACCAGTGGTGGCATTCTCCAGTTTCTGTTGTCAGAAATTTCTAAGAGCTGAGAACTTTGTTGTACACTGCAGTCTTTCTTGAATGTTCAGATATTTATTTCAACTCCACATAGAATTTACATGAATTTTCATGAAGATTATAATCTGTTCAGTGCTTATTTATTAAGAAGGAACATTCCACACTAAATTAATTTTTTAAATAGTTCATTTCTTACCACCATCTCTTAACATTTACTGCTACTTCTTTGTACAAGTACATTGCAAAAAGGTTTTGTAGTTCAGAATGTTTGAAATACTTGATGTTTCTTCTTATTTGAAGCTTTGATGGAAACTAATAAACTTTGTTTTTTTAGGCAACGTTTAAAGGATGGATGGAAATCATGTATGCTGCTGTTGACTCTAGGGATGTAAGTGCAATGTAAAATTTACCAATTTTAATCAAATCAGATTATTTCTTGAATGCTAATTGAAATAAAGTAACATTAAAAAAACATAAAATTTTGACTTTTTTTCTTTATAGGTCTAAAGTTAAACCTATTAAATATATTATTAGTTATTATTAGTAGTTATTAGTTATTATGAGTAGTTAATTTCTACAGAAATTAAATGCATGTACTTTTAGTAGGTAGAATATACATAGAAGTACTAATATATATATATAAATTGAGTAATGTAACTAGTGAAATTTAGTTTTGTATGGATGTTTATAACTGAGATTTTTCCAGTTCCCAAAAATAAAAAAAGTTACGTGCAGTAGCTAATACAAAGTCACATTCTATGATCTGAAATAACAAAATGGCAGAACTTTGCCTGTTTTAATGCAGGTATTTGTTTGCATCTTTTGTCTCTCTAGCTCCTTTTTGTATAAAATCTGTAGAAAGTGATTTACTTTTGAGATTTTCATACCTCTTTCAAATTTAGGAAGCTACACATGACCTTAGAGAAGAATTGCAAGTATTTGTATGCAATAAAAGACGTTGAATGAATTTACATGATCAAAGATTGAACAAGTTTAGGGTGTTCTCCAAAAATAACTGTTCCACTACCCCATTTTTCTTTCTTTGTTGCTGTCTGGCTAAACACAGCTTCTGTTTCTTCTCTTCTTATAGTATTCTATAATCTGTTTTTACTGTTGTTGGTGATGTATTTCTGTTTTTCTGTGTTACATAGGTAGGGAAACAGCCCATGTACGAGGATAACCTATACATGTATCTTTACTTTGTTGCCTTTATCGTCTTTGGATCCTTCTTCACCCTAAACTTGTTCATTGGTGTCATCATAGATAACTTTAACCAACAAAAAAAGAAGATAAGTGTCAACGTTTCATTTTCTTCATACTTCTTGTCTTTAAGTGTTATACAGATCTGTACAAAGAAATGGAAGATAAAGAGAGCTGGTTAACTGTCTTGAGTTGTTAATGAGTTTGCAAGAGAAAGAAAATTATTGATGTGTGAAAATGTGTCTTGGTGGTTTTGTTTTGTTTTGTTTTGTTTTTTCGTGGGGGACTTTTTTTTTTCCCTCGGCTGAAATGGTTTCTGTTATTCAAATGAGCGTAAGTTTGTGTCAAAAATTCCACAAGGATTAAAATAGGTTAAAATGCATCCTATGATGACAAGTTAAATTCTGTTTGCTATCTAAACTCTGAACGTTTTCTATGGTAGGCTTATTTGTCTGTATATGAAAGGAGCAGAGTGCTGGAGTCTTATTTACCTTGAAAAAAAAAAAAAAAGTGCCACTAAATAATAGCAAAGTAGAATATAATTTCTTAGAATCAGAGAGTCATTTCGTAGACTCACTTGCAATTTCAGGTGATTTATCAAATTTCATTCACTGTACTAAAATAAAGATACTGCTAGACATATTGCATTGGAAAATTCCATTGTTTCCATATGTATCCTGGGCAGAAATCTACAAACACTTCTTTCCATCTCTTAATCTCTTGAGGCCCTCTGTTAGGCTAAGTCTAATCCTGATGATAAATTTGTGAGATAATCTTGGCTGAATAGATCCAGTGGAATGTTTTCTGTCATGTTATACAAAAAAGAGTAAAGCTTTTATGAAATCTAAAATATGAAGAAATGTGTTACCCATTGATGACTGTCTTTATATTCTCACTTGAGTTTTGAGATCGGTTCACTTTTTATCTCTTTCACAATGTTTTTCTTTTCCCCTAAGTAGTTGTATAAAATTATTCTCACTGAGTTGTATGGAAATAGCTAACTCTCAGATAGGGGCTTTGGTGTTGCTTTTTTATTTTTCCTCACAGTTGCACAGGAACTATTTTATTCTGATTTCTCTTCTATTTTGATTCAGTTTTTCTTTTCATTTCTCTCTTTAGTCCTTCAGAAGGAAAGAGAGATTGGCCTATACCGTAGAGGTCACCCAGCATGGCTTGTGATATCCACCCTATGGAGTCAGACCATTATTTTTTATCTACCAGTATGCATTTGGTTTTTTTTTTCCACAAAGATGATCTTGGAAAAGTACCTACCAACTGAGACTGGAGTTTGTAGCTTCATATGTTGCTTCATCAGATCCTTTGAGTCTTTTGTGTGCTTATCCAAGTATAAACAGTTTGTAGTTATAAAACTGATGTTGTCTTTATCCTTCAGTAAGTTTCTTCCCCCACACAGGCACCTTGAATAACATCAGAGAATTTCAGGACTAAAGAGGAAGCTGAGTATGTTTCTTCTGATCCTGGGAGAGGAAGACTTAGGAAGTTATATATATGCTGTTGATATTTCTATCAGTCTCTATGTTCTGGGGTTACCATGTCCAGTAAAGAGATGGTTGTAAATTGGCAGATGCTGGCTACTGTAGTCATTATGACTCAAAAAGGCAGAAAAGTGCTCGTAAGGTTTCTTTCTGGCAGTGTGGTGTCTGTGTACATCCTTTGAACTTCTGTCACCAAAATAGTTGAATAGGCTGGAGAACATTCTGTCTGCTTGCTATTCTTCAGTTTAATAGAGCAAATTAGCAGCCATTACTGGCTTTTGTATTTATAGAGGCACCTTTGCTCATAGAAATGCAGCAATATTCTTGTCTTTGCTCTGCATTCACATCACAATGAGCTATTTGTTTTGGGCAGTGTTTTTAAGATATGGGAAAGACCTTATGTTAGAATATACTTTCTCTGTGTAGTTGTGATTTATTTGGTCCTTGTGTGCATCCCACTAGCTGTCAAATTGTTAACCATTAAAGTCTTCAACTATAATGTTGAGTAATGTTTATCCTGCTTTGAGTCAGTTATTCTCCCAGTGGATGGCACATTGAGACGGCGATGTTAACTCTTGCTTGGTATTACATCACACGTCAGTGAGAGAGCAGATGTAGTCCTCAGTTCAACGCCAGTTCCTTTGTAGTTCTTTTTTTTTTTTTAATTCCTGCTGAGAAAAATCTGCTGATAGATTTTCATTACTCTCCACCATAATCAGCAAATTCACTTTTTGTTTTAGTTCCAGGACCTATGGCCTCTAATGAATGAATTATACTTGAACATGTGGTTTATGAAGAGAACATACTATAAAAAAATCTCTTTTGATTTCTGACCTTCATGTCTGCATGTAGCCATAGCTGAAAGGCTCAAACACATCTCCACATTATTGATAAATATGATCAACACTATTTTTGACAAAGTCACAGATTCATCTAGACTGAAATTCATTTCCAAATGCTTTGACATCACGAATGCCTGTATGTAAAACCAAATGCATGGAAGGAAAATCACTTGTCAGAAATACAATTTTGCTAAATATTTTCATGTGTATTACACATAACAATCTAGATATTATTTTACTCAAATTGCTTACCTTAAATTCAGACAAGAAAACTTAAAAAGTGTATCAGTGCTTATTGATTCTCTCTGCACAGTGTAGTGGATAATCGAACACCAGATACTCACTGTGGAAGTATTTTTATTGCAGCAGCAAGTATTTGAACTGAGATACCTGTATACCCATGGTAAAACATACATCCTGAGAAATAAGTAATGTCAGTAATGTCTTTTTTCCACACACATTCTTTCTGATGACCTATCAGTTCTGAATTACTACTTCTACTTTTGAAACTTATTTCTAGTTCATTGTTTTACAGTGTGGAGTTTACTGTTAGCTATAGAATATGTATTTCTATAAGTTTTTTCATTCATATTTAACTGAATTATCTTTGTATCTGAATTTTTTTAATAACAGAAGTCCTTTTTTTCACTTCCTTAATTTGTTTTGATTTTCCATCAAGGCTTGTGAGATACTTTAATAATCTTTGATATGATTATTGTATTTTGGTTTTTATAGCAATGTATTATAAGAATGAATGCATAGTTCATAAAAGTGATGTTCTGCGTATTAATGGAATGTAAGCCTTGGCTGTAATTGGTTTTTATTTTTCTTATTTTACCTAGGAGGTCAGGACATTTTTATGACAGAAGAACAAAAGAAATACTACAATGCAATGAAGAAATTAGGTTCCAAGAAACCACAAAAACCTATACCTAGGCCAGCGGTAAGAATACATGCTATTCTTATGTCATGTACATTGAGCAACAGCAGTACGTTAACTATCAAAAGTCTCCCTCAACTTTAAAATGGTCTAGGCCTAATTGAAATTCTCCATTCTAAATTGAAATTTGTTCATCCTTTAGGAAAATATTCTCATAGTTGTTTTGCCTGGGGAAATACAGAATCAGAGGATCTTAAGAAGTAGGAATGTGTTGGGTTTTGAGGGGGAAACAGAAATCTAGAAAAGTGACTGAAGAGCACTTTTAGGTTTTTGAGTATATTTTGAGTAAGAAAGAAAAAGACAGGAAAAAAAAGAATGTTCATTACATACAAGCTAGTGTCACGTTTTCTTTTTTCTCCCCTCAGAACAAATTGCAAGGTTTGGTGTTTGATATTGTAACAAAACAAGCATTTGACATCGGCATTATGGTCCTCATCTGTCTTAACATGGTCACCATGATGATAGAAACAGATGACCAGAGTGAACTTATGCAAAATATTTTATACTGGATTAACTTTGTTTTTGTTGTCCTTTTCACTGGAGAATGTGTCTTAAAACTGTTCTCGCTCCGTTACTATTACTTCACTGTTGGCTGGAATATCTTTGATTTTGTGGTTGTTATCCTTTCAATAGTAGGTAAGAAATTCTTGTATTTCAAATGAATTATAGTAATATATAAAATGCTTTGAAAAGTTTTATACATTAAAGGAATATTTAATTATCATTGCTTCTGATTTTTTAGGAAATGAGAAGCATACTTCAGAGTCATACCTTCTCAATAATTCTGTATCAATCATAATACTCATTTTTTTCTATGAGTACTGGGAAAAAAGCTCGAATTACAAATAGCTGATAAAATCTATTGACTCTTCTTCCAATTACGTTTTCCAGAAATTGCATAGATAGATTTGTTCTTTGTTCATAATCTGTGTTGTAGTTTATGTATCTCTTCTGTTACTCTTCTAATTTTATTTTTATGTTTCACAGGTATGTTTTTAGCTAAGGTGATTGAAAAGTATTTTGTGTCCCCTACTTTGTTCCGAGTCATCCGACTTGCCAGAATAGGTCGCATCCTGCGTCTCATTAAAGGCGCAAAGGGAATCCGCACTCTGCTTTTTGCTCTGATGATGTCTCTTCCTGCTTTGTTCAACATTGGCCTGCTGCTCTTCTTGGTCATGTTTATCTATGCCATATTTGGCATGTCCAACTTTGCCTACGTTAAGAGGGAAGCTGGAATTGATGACATGTTCAACTTTGAAACATTTGGCAACAGCATGATCTGCCTATTTCAAATTACCACATCTGCTGGCTGGGATGGCTTGTTAGCCCCAATTCTTAACAGCGGGGAGCCGGACTGTGATCCTAACAAAGCTCACCCGGGGAGCTCTGTTAAAGGCGACTGTGGCAACCCTTCGGTTGGGATTTTCTTCTTTGTCAGCTACATCATCATATCCTTTCTGGTGGTGGTGAACATGTACATTGCTGTCATTCTGGAGAATTTTGGTGTTGCAACTGAAGAAAGTGCTGAGCCCTTGGGTGAGGATGACTTTGAGATGTTCTATGAGGTTTGGGAAAAATACGATCCAGATGCAACACAATTCATAGAATACAGCAAACTATCAGAGTTTGCAGCTTCTCTGGATCCTCCTCTTAATATACCAAAACCAAACAAGATCCAGCTGATTGCAATGGATCTGCCCATGGTAAGTGGTGACAGAATTCACTGCCTCGACATCCTGTTTGCTTTCACAAAGCGTGTGTTAGGGGACAGTGATGAGATGGATGCCCTCAGAGTACAGATGGAAGACCGATTTATGGCAGCCAATCCTTCCAAAGTCTCCTATGAACCAATCACAACCACATTAAAACGGAAACAGGAAGAAGTGTCTGCTACCATTATTCAGCGTGCCTATAGATGTTATCTTTTAAGACGATCAATAAAGAAACTCTCATATATGTACCGCAAAGATGGGGTTGATATACTTAGCAAAAATCATATGCTTTTTGGTAAGCTAAGTGAAAATTCAACTTCAGAAAAAACAGATATGACTGCATCCACCACATATCCACCTTCCTATGACAGTGTAACAAAACAAGAAAAGGAAAAATATGAAGATGACAAATCAGAAAAAGAAGACAAAGGGAAAGACAGAAAAGGAAATAAAAAGTGGAAGAAGACATAAAGAAGTGGGGAGTGGTGGCTGTTCAAAGCCTCAGAAGATGAAATTTTTTTATCAATAACACTTCTGTTGGAGGATTATGCCAAAATGACAAGTTTTTACTTATTTATCGAGTGCTATTGTCAGTGCCTGTACCAAGATAATGACATGTGGTAGCAAACCCTGTATGTAGCAGGGAAACAAGCATTCCAGAAGAATAGTTTTTATTACCAGCTGGCACTAATAGAAAGGAGGCATAAACTTTTTACTTGGACTATGTGGACTCTTAATGGAGTGCAAAATTATCAGTTCTAGTAAGTTTGTGGAATACGTGTATCCACTGTATGCATTTCATCTACTATGTATGTGTATTTTTTCCTTTGGTGGTCTCATTTGCTGTAATTCACATTCTATTATTTGTAATTGTACTCTTTTGAGGAAGAAGATAAATGTTCATACAGAGGAACACAATGTTATGAGTTAGGTAATTACAGAGTCAGAATGTGAACATAGTCTTCTTCAAGCCACCGCTTCTAAAAGCAGAAAAAAGAGTGTCCAGACTCTTGGACCTTAGAATCTACATCAAATCAACAGCAAATGATAAAGAATATAGTTTAGAAAAATAATTTATCAGAAAACAGAACAGAAGAATCACTTTCACTGAAAGGAGGTTAGTAATTTGTTCTCTTGATTTTACTATACTTGTTTAATATTTCCTATTAACTCTTCATTTTTCACATAGTCCTATTCAGTGAATGATTTAAATGCATCATGCTACAGAAAATTTCTTATTTGATAAATGCAGAACTAGTAAAAAAGAGTTAGTTTACTTTCAGGGTCCAAGGTTGCTCTTAGTTTATGAGTGCTTAAAATGCAATTTTATCGTAGAGTAGCTATAAACACCAAATTTTTGCTTACAGGGAATCACTGGAAAAAAAAAAAAAAAAAAAAAGCGGTAGTTTATTTTACTTAGTTAAGAAAAGAATGTAGACCTTGCAACAACTTCCATACTTCATTCTAATGTCAGTCTCTGCAAATTTCATTTCACATATATAAATCCTATTTAATACAGAAATCAAAGTTACATGTATAAAATGATAACAAAATACCTATTGGAACAAACATTGCCTTAGTTTGTACATTAGGCTGAAATTAGCATACTTTGAGAAGCTGATCATGTTGAAGATATAAACTAAGTACATTGAAGGTAACTTTGAGCCCCATAGGACTTTAGCCAGGTTTCCACTTAATGAAATGCAGTCTTCCATAGAAGGCTGATATGACCAAATGATGTACTTGAATCAGCTTTATTCTGCACTGTGGTTTAGATGAATTTTTCACATCAAAGCTTATAGAACCTACATAGGTAAAATTGTTCTGTTACTTAGTCAGTTGTTTTACACAGTGGTACCTGTTTGAACAAAGAGACAATGACCTAAATACTATATTTATTGCATTAAATATGTACCCTCATAAATGTGGCTTTTAATATTTCAGTAAATTATATGATATATTCTGTAATACTCTAAATAATTGGGAAGCTTTAACTGATGCATGCTTGCTGCTATTATTCTACAGCTATTAAAGTCTAAGATGGAAAGACATGTGAGTGTTAGAAAGGAAAAAAAAACTATTCAGCAAGACCATCATTCCTCACAACAGTAAGCAATAGTTTGCTGCTATTATAGATTTTATTTTCAGTTTATTAATGTTATGCTGTGAATAAACAGACAATAGAAGATTAATACACTGCTTAACTTGCTTAAAATGTGAGGCTATAAATATATATATATATTGATCTCTTCATGTTATTTTGCAAATAAATTTATTTTATAATATTTTATACATGTTAGAAATAATACAAATATATTTATGTTAATCATTTTTATTTCTATCTGTAACAGTTTTTTGGGTTTTTTTGGAGGGGAACGTAAGATACAGTATGAATTGGCAATTGCAATTCTCTGCTAATTATATGAAAACAGATTTTAGTAAGTGGTAGTTTTAAAAGAAATGAACAGCATAGATCTTTTTCTGATCAGTGATAGTTCCTTGTACGTGACACAAGATGGAAGTTTTCTTTTAAAATCATGCTCTTGTCTATCAATTTTCAGGTTAATTTTTGTCATAGAAACCTTGTTTTTCTGCCATGTTATTTACACTGCCTGCTTGTCCTGTGGATTTGTCCTGCAGTAGTAGTGCTTTAAATATAATTTGCTATTCAAAATCTTTCTTCATAAGAATGAACAGTTAACTTGTGTAATGGGCAGTGAAATACCTTCCAATTCTTACAAAAGAAACTATAGATGGGCTTTTGCTTCTACAGAAACTGGTTTCTGTACTGGTAAATTGCATGCAGGATGTTGTTTTACCAAAAATAACTACACTGCTAACAACCCAGAAGAATAAAGATAACCTTTTTATGTATTTGTTTTAGTCTTTGTGGTTTTTATTGTAGGAGACTAATACAGTTCAACAAGTAATTGTTCACCCTTAACTTTAACAACTTCAGTGATAAAGCAATATGTTCTGAACATCTATATTACATGTTATTTGATTACTTGTATCAGTATAAACTTGTCACCATATAGGTAAACTGAAATGTCCATATTGTCCTGAACAGAAAGGCTTTTATTTATTTATTATTATTTTTATTTTTAATTCAGGAAAGAATTCCATTGCAACTATGTGAGTTTTGTCAGATTTTTACAAATTTTCTAGGAAGAGCTACAGTGGTGCCCTGGCACCAAGTCCAAATTTTGGATGTCTCAAAGGTACTGCTGAGCAGTGGATCTGTAAGATGTTGTTCACCCTGAGGTTGGAGCTCTGAGTGTTCTGTCACAGGAATAACCCCAGAAGGTAATAAGAGTCCCTTTAATCCCAATCCACCTCAAGAAACCCAGTGCTTCCCAAGAGAATGAAGAAGGACCTGTTAGAGGTGCTGTTGCTACAGCACAGGTGGCTTGAGGCACGTAGTGCCATTACAGAGCCTGATAGGCACTGTCTCTGGCAGGAGGTTACAGGCAGCAGGATGTTGGGCAGACATGTGTATGGGGTAATTAATACAGTTTTCTTTTTCACATGTTATGAAGAAGACCTGCTGTATACTTAGGTTAGAAGAGCTAAAAAAAAAAAAAAAAAACAAGCAAAACCCTCAAGTATGCTGTTTTGAAGGACAATTTGGATTTTTTTTGTGATTATATCTAATTTGATTTTTTTTTTTTTTTTTCAGTTTTGATCTGGTGGCTTGATTGTCTGTTTTAATATAGAACAGTTGTTCTAACATTCTAATTACAAGTAGTACTTATCCAAAGCAGTAATGTTTTAAGTCAGTGCTGGATAGGTTGGTAGTTACAAACAAACAAACAAAAAAAAACCAAAAAACCAAACACGTGGAATAAGACTGAAACATTTATACAAAAATTTTACTACGAATTCAGCAGTTTGCAGACGTATTTATGAGGTCATTTATAAAGCCATTTTACCTTAGAAATTTACAATCAATGTTAATTTTTATTAAAAGTAGAATCAAACTGAAGTTATTCAATCTTTTGTGCAGTCAAATTCTAAACTTTTCCAAAGAGTAATATATTTTCAGATTTCATATATATAAATATAAAATATTTACTTGAATAAATTTGGGTTTTTTTACATTTATTTGAGAAAATATAAATATAAATATATTCATATATTATATAAATATTCCAGGATACCTGGAAGTAATTTGCCAGTGTGGAGGACTGCATTCTTTCTCCCTTTGACATGCAGTCTTTCTCCCTTACCTGCAGGTATAAAATGCATTCGCGCTTCATGTTGATATACAACAGATGTTTCAAGGTGAGTTAGTCGTATATCAGTATGTAAAACAAAACTCCAGAGCTGGAGAGTACTGCACTTTATTGCAGTTCACAGAGAATGAAAGACGAATTAGATCCGCACACTTAAAATTTTCTGAGAAAACAACCTTCTTTATTCCTTTTTACCCACACAGGACTTTTATTTGTTTATGCTATATATATTTTTTTTTAAATCCAAGCTATTTTTCTGGAATGAAAGTGCCATCAGAAACAATTACATATATATACTGTATATATTATGTATATATAATACATAATTACATAGTGTATATAATTGTATAATTTTTATTTATATTTAAACCTGACTGCATCCAGCAGAGGGCACAAGCACCTGCCAGATCATCTCGGTACTGATGGCCTCTTTTGCCACAGAAAGAGGTGTTGCAGTTACTAAAATGTCTTTCAGCTTTACAAATAATTTATAGATTTTTAATTTTTTTTTTTTTTTTCTAGTTAACATGACAATTCATCTGTAAAGGTGGCCTTCTTGATACTACTTCTGTCACTGGGCCCGGTCTTTCTGCATGTAAGTTCTATTAAACAGTGTGTGGCCATATATCTAGAGATAATAAGAACTGCCACACTTATCCAAGCTTACTAAAATACAACCTAAGGGTGTCTATTAAAAAGGCACTGGGGAATTACACAGATTGCTTTGCCTTTATTAATAGGAAATATTCGTTCAGTTCCACTGTGCACACAAACCAGCTCCAACCTTCTAAAAGAGTCAAATATTGAAGTATATATCTCATCTGTGTGTCTGACAGTCATAACAGGAAGTGTTATTAACAATGCTTTGGTGTTCTTTGAGCCTAGAAAATTCCTACAGTACTCATTTTGTTGTACATATTCAGAAAGGTTTATCTAGCTTTTCAATGCATTAGGAGAAATATCCTGAAATACCTGCAGTGTAAAAATATGTAATGGCTCACAAACCTCTGCATTAGCAGTATGGTTTTCAGAGGTGGATGGAACAACTCTCTTTCATTCTCTGAGCACATCTCGGTTTTGTCTATGTGATCCAGCATGCGGCTTCTGTTACTTAGCATACCTTCTATTTTCTTGCTGATCAGTGGGAGCTTTTACACAGAGAAATGCGTATATCTTAGTGCTTGCCTGAAAAAAAATCATACTGCAGTGTAACACAAGCAAAGTACACTGCGGCACATTCTCATCCCTCTGGAGAGGGCAGACTGCATGCTGAAGCACATATGAGCTCTGCTGCAAGAGAAACAATTGATGAAAATAAGGAATGATGTTTCATCAACAACTTACAACACTTAAAACCAGCAGCCAGATACGTTGTACATTTGCATTTTCTGTTGTCTTTAAAGCATGTTTCATTCTCTTTAACAGTAATCTTGATGTTAATCTTTGTGTAATATGACAGCTAATTTAAAAAAAAAAAAAAAAAAAAAAAAAACAGCTCTTTTTTAGGACATACATATCTGAAACAATGTAATAAGCTGTTGTGTCTTTTTTAAAGTAGTGTCTATAACATGTATGTTCATAAATAATCAGGGAATTGTCTATGTCTTTGTACTATTGCTTTATAACAATGTCACGCTTGCAGATACCATAGCAACCCCTGTCACGTGGTACTTTCCAATTACTGAAGTAGCTTTATCCCCATACTCTGCAGCAATACTTGCATTAATATCTGTCCGTAAAGCAGTTTAGTAAATATTGCATCTTCATCCAAAATGGCAAACTAACTGTGCCAGTGATGATCGTGCCTGGGGTATCAGGCAAAAAGCTAGAAAAATACTTTCCTCTAATGACAGGCATTATGAATCTCTGTATCTTTATCTTCTTGATGGCTGTCATATGTGACATATAGGGGTTCATGCAGTATTCCTGAAAATACTATAAATATAAGTGCATAGAGATTTTAACTTTGTAGGATTGAAAACTGAATGTGCTTTATGTGGTGATAGATGGGTGAGGAAGTTAAATGCAGGTCCTTGACATCCTCTATCCAGACTTGCATATACTTTCAAGAATTGAAACAATGTGGGGAGTGATGGTCAAAAGCATTGTGAACCTTACTTCTCTTGCTCTATTTTTTTTTTTTTTTTCCTGACACAGTGCAACAGTCTGTTAGGTTATTCTTACTTTTGTATGAAAATAAAAAGACCAATGAAGTGGAAATGTTTCTGGTGAATGAACAGTAACCAATGTCAGATGTGGAGAAAATATAATAAAATATTAACATGGCTTTTCTACTTGTGTTTTAGGACTAAAGCCTTCATTTCAAATTTGAATTTTACCTCATATGAGGACAGCTTCATGTATAGGAAATTTCAAAAGGTATGAAAAAGAACTGGTGACAGTAAAAGAAATTACAGTGCAGGTACCGCTGAGAAGTTATTAATGTAAAATCTTTTGCAAAGTTAATTGGAAGTCAAAGCGCTCTACAATTAGATGAAAGTATCAAAGAACATGGCATTGCAAAAATTCTGCAACAGAGTGAGTAGAAAAGGTTGTCTTAGTACAAGGGTCAAGAAAGAAAGCTGCAGGCTAAAATCTGGGTTAAAAAATAGTTCATATCTCTGTTAACATCCAAAATGTGAATGTGTATGTACTCTTTTTATTCAAATCTGTCATTATGTACACATCTTGAATCACTTCAGCGAGTAAAAGTCTCCCAGTATTCTTATGGAGAAAAAAGCCAGAGTATACTGGCTCAACTTTTCAATTATTTGGTACCAACTTGCTCTTCAGCTTTGTTTTCCTTGTCCCATATTAGGAGGAAGTTTTTCATACAGAGGGTGGTGACACACTGGAACAGGTTATCTAAGGAGGTTGTGGATGCCCCATCCCTGGAGGCATTCAAGGCCAGGCTAGATGTGGCTCTGGGCAGCCTGGTCTAGTGATTGGTGACCCTCCAATAGCAGGGGGGTTGAAACTAGATGATTATTGTGGTTCTTTTCAACCCAGGCAATTCTATGATTCTGTGATATGATTCTATGATAGTCTCCATCTCTTTT